TTACTCCGAGTTTCGTGCTTACGCACTCATCAGACGGTATTTAAAGCCCTGACTATAATGAATTTGTAGCCAAACATGCATGAACACTAATTTCAGTCTGCAATAATAACACTACTGAAATCTGACCTGAATTGTGCATGAATAACTTATGTTAATACTAACGTACTGATGTGAAATGTGAACGCTTGTGCGCGCATGTGCGCTTGGTAATAAAGTTACTACATAACCTTCAATTATTGTCTCATTGACATTTAATTTCTAATTTTGATATTATTAATCCTACTGACCTTATTCTGCAATTCGTCCAAAACGCCGTTTGGTGACTTTTATAATCAGTGGATGTGGAAGACGAGAAAATTAAACCACAGTTTCACATCATTAGTCATAACTGTCTTCCGATGTCTCCCGCCCTCTCCGTCAAAACAGCCAGTACATCGGCTAGCATTGTGAAGACCGGCGGGCAAACAACAGCTGCAAAATAAACTTGTACCGCCATCAGAAAAACAAAATTTCCATTCCGCTTTTTCATGTTTTCAGGGCGTATCAAGTCTGACAGCGAATCGACGCACGTTGAGGTTGGTGTTGACAATCCAGTGCCCGTTGTTAGCAAYCATGGTAGTGCTGAAAATAGCAACAACRTCCACGAGTCATCAATTTRATAGCATTGCAGTAAATCTGTCAACCCTCTTGGGAGGGGTACTAGTCAACACAGGAAGTCCAAAACTTAAAATGATCCTTTAGAATCTCTATTTAATCTTACGACAATCGATTGATTAGATTCAACAAAAATAATAATAATAATAATAATAAAAAGAAATTGACAACGTTAACAAAATGGCATGTTTTTACAAACAAGGGTTTTTGACCTGATTTTCTTCAATTAGATTATTTAAAAGCATCAACTGCTTAGACCTGTTGAATTGCTTGCCTGGTAATTTATAGACAAAACAAACATAATTTACATTGAATACTATATTACTATGCTCCCAGGTAGCTGAAGTACAAAGTTAGCTGAGCCTTTGCATCAAAGCTAGATAGTGGGTACAGCTTGCAAATAGATAACTGTCAAGAATTGTCCTATAGGTGTGAAAAAAAGGATCTATCACTTCTATGTTGGTTAGATGCAAAACTAATTTTGAAGATAACACTTGRAACTGTAAAATGGGATGATCAATATRATATTTKTTTTGATGGGCCTAATACAGTCATTTCCATCAAGGTTTTTCAGTTGTAATGATGTAAAGGCAACAACAAAGTCATTTGCAAATATCATATTTGTATTTTTGGCAAGATTATTCAACCTCAATTACCCAAACTTTATGACAATGTACTAAATGACATTTAACTTGCAAGCATGAGTTGGAGTTTTGAGTCAAACTGGGATTGAAAAAAAAACATTTTATGCAAATGACATTGTTGTTGTCAATTGAACAATGCTAATGGATTGATTGTATAAATGTCTATTTATCCAAAATAGCAAAGGTTATGATCATGTAGAGTCTAATAATATTATCAAATAATAAATTAGGCAATACAAAACTATTTCAGTCCTTTAATGACTTGATTACTTGTATTGTAAGCAAGAAAATGTACCCAATGAGGAGGCAAAATGTAGGAATTCAATAATAATGATAATTCACATAAGTCTATATTATATTTATGACAGTGTTTTATTGTTGCAAAATAAATGATAATTCAGCCCAGAAAASAAGGACAGAAATGTTAGTGTTTGTATTTGTTTTTGTAGGAGGAATATCATTGACAATTGTRAGGGTGGTAGTCAAAGGCAATAACCACTTAAAAATATCTAGATATCACTTGATTTTTCCAATTTTGCACATTGCTTTCATAAAATGGCATGTTCAATACTGTAAAAAGGTTGACTGAATTATTTCTCAGGGAAAAACAAGTCAGTCAATCTAACTTTTTAGAGCCACAGCATTTTCCACTTCATTATTGCTATCTTCTCCATACACTACTATCTTTCCTTGCCTAATGACAGGAAAACTTGGAAGTGGTTCAAGTTCATTATCCACTAGTTCTACATATGCCATTTTGGGGTACAATGCTTTAGGTGGACATGGTATTGCAGTTATTTTTACAAATCCACCATATCTGTCCTTATATCTGTCCTTTAAAGGTCCATATAATTTATCAAGAGCTTCTTGATTCTGTAATAAATATAAATGAAGAATAAATCAAAGAAATTCAATAATGTCAATGATTACTGTGTGCAATAATGGTCCCACTATTGCTGTAGACTCTTATATGCTATAGACAGCTGTATAACAAAGACAATTAAATGCTATAATACAGACATTGTCCCAATAAAGTATCTAATATAAACATCACTATACATTAAAATAGAAAGACACTATGTAAAACTCAATAGAATCATAATTATAATTACCCCCATAAGCATATTTGAAGCTTCTTGGCGACATCTAACAATAAATTCTTCCTCTGTGAGCTGTTTGGRCTGTAAAAGAACTTTTTTACTTCGTCTGTTAACAATTCGCCTGGTGATCATTTTCTCGAATGCTTCTTTTTCATTCAGAATAAATCCATTTTCAATCATGTCCAGGTCTGGTGGTGGGGATCTTCTTTGTGATAGTGTTATAAGCTGGAAATATATTTAGTTATTTTTTTTCGGTCTGGTATCCTAGTCATTTGCACGCTGTGATTGGCTAGCGCGTGGTCCGGTTTTTCATGATCTACCCAGTCCATGGTATCCTGCAGCTAAGCTTCGAGCAAAGTTGCATAAAATACAAATAAAAAAAAAAATAAAAATGTTATTTACCGGCTATAGGTCGGTTCACATAGGAAAACACTGCCCTCGGTCTTTTATGTATGGTCTTTTATTGTCAAGACCTCGGGCAGTGTTTTCCTATACGGACCTCCCAGCCGGCAAATAACATATATGTATATATATATTGGTACAATAATTTATGAAACAAACTAGCTCTCTATAAACTTAAGTTATTTCTGCAGAAAAATAAGATGCTTTTTAAAGATAAGATGATTTTTTTAAAAGGAAACATAGTTGATTTTAATTCTGAAGTAAGAAAAATGTCAAAAAATGCTTCAACTGAACATCATTTACTCACAAGATCCCCATATTTCTGTACTTGATGTGCCTTTTGAAGAGTTGTTTGGATTCGTTCATGTTGAACAAGAGCCACAACGATTCTTTTGATTAGATCTGTTCTCCTCTGAACAAAAGGGTTTACAACCTTTTTAGTTGGAAGCTTTCTATGCGTTCCTAAGCGAACAGTAGTGAGGTTTAAACCAGAAGTTAGCGTTTTTATCATAGATGAACAAGACACGCGAGTAAGCAATGGAGCCGCCATCTTGGATGATTCAACTAGTTCCAGACTTTTTCAAAATTTGAGTTAAGAAAGGGCCTGAGCACTAAAAACCGCGAAAAATTAAAATGTCATTTATGCTTGACAAAGCTTGACGAGTGGTTCGATTGTTTGCTTGTTCGCGACTAAATCTTCCTCTCATTAGTAATGTCTTCGTTTCTTTATTGTTAAAAAGAAATATCAAATCATCTCACCGCCCAAAGCAAGGTATCATCAAAATATGATTCATTAAAGTCGAAAAACATCTGTTTTGATTCCCTTCATATACCGTTTTTATTCTTCATATCACTGGCAGCAACTCTCAGAACGAACCTGGAAAAAGAGGGAGAAATATGAAAAGATACTTTGACGTCACATTCACGTGGTCAAATATCTCATGACGTAATGATCGATACGCGCGAAGCAGAAACGTGGATCTATTGCAATTCTAGTATTTTGCAAGAACAATTATTGATTCAATTGTCTAGAATTGTACCGTGTACATGGTTGTGTTGAAGCATTTCTTGGCTTTAGAAGAAGCAGAAACTGTCGTGATTCGGTTCACATCGTTTATTTCAACCGAAAAGTACACATAGCAGTTGTCAACCTTACTGGTTTATTGCTCAGAAATGCTTAGAAACCCGCTTGGAGGGATGCTCTTCTTATTAATATTATATTTGAGCTCTTTTCTCGGAATTATTTTCATTCTTGGACCGTCGCTGCCGTTAATGTTGATCAAGCCAAAGTGGTATCGATGGTTCAGTGACAAAGCAATAGCTCTGTGGCTGATCGTTGCTCCGGTATAAAACACTTTATGCTCAAACGTTCTCGTTTGTTCTAACTTTTTGAAGGATTCGACACCTAATGCCACAAACTAACAAAGATGTATTTCTTTTCTTTGCATGAATATTCTATGGCTGCTTGCCTTTTATCTGGTGATCAATGGAAAGGGATTGCTCGGTAAGTCGCTTTGTTATGGCTGTATAGCTTCTTCGTCTTCGTATTATCAGGGATGGGTATGAGCTGATTCTTGTGGGGGCAAAGTTCGTTTATTTTTTACAGGTCATCAGAGCCGAGCCGAGTCTACGGGAAATGTAGATTGTCAGTGGTAAAAACACAGTCGGCCATAGGTTGTAAATACGTCTTAAAAATTCGCCCACATATTTATATGGAATCCTGACAGCTTTTTGCACAGCGTGACATAAGAGAAACATCGCACAAAGAAGCTAAAAATGTTGGCGGAACCTTTTCGTTTGAAAGCAGTTTTCAGCTCAAAAGATCGTGAAATGTTTCGGTTCATTTTGAAAAGGCGATAATAATTCTTTTGGTCAGAGWGGTGTACGATTTTACTGAAGGGATGTGTACTTATTTACTTTTGTTTTCAACATGATTTAAATTCTAATCGTTGAATTAATTTTCGAATAAGAACAATTGAACGAAGTTTTTCGCTAAAAAAACGAATTTTTCAGAAATTTCTTAAATAATCATCAAATATTGATTTTTTTTTTCGTATCATAATATTCCATTATTCATTGATGTTTTTATTTTTGTAAGTGTTGTGTATGTATTACTCAAGCTTTTAAAAACAACGTCGGGCAAAATGAATTTTTTTAAAATATAATATGTGCATTACTTAATTGAAGAAAACGTTTTTAACAGAGAAAAATAACTCCTGGGGTTAAATCTTCTAAAATTGTCCAATCTTAAATTTATTATCCACTTGTCAAAAACAAAATTGCTAACAAATGYTTCATTCACAATTCAAACATGACAAAAAAGCATTAACCCATTTGCCATGTACCTGTTTTTTGGCACTTTGTTTTTTCCATGCTTATRTTTTTAATGTCCTTTTTGATAATAAAGGGCGATATCTTTAAAAAGATGATGTGTTTAAATTGAGACAGTGAATGTAACTGTATTAAACGCAATGGCTTAAGTGATAAGGTGTGACCAAGAACAGGTGCTAGAGGTAGATATCTATCTGCATGTGCAATGTAATGTTTTTATTCGCGTCCACGCATTATATCTTTTTGAATGGTTTAATGTACATAAAAAAGAGCTTCTTACAATGAGTGATATTTATACAAAAGTCATGGGCATTTATCAGCTGTCTACTGATACCTAAGAAGTAATTTGGCAGGTTTTTTAGAGTTTCTATATTCTATTTATTGTAAATGTTAAATGAGACATCTTTTGTTTATTTATTTAAAGACTTCTCCGTAACAAAATAATAATATGAATATTAGAGAGTGTAATTGAAATGTAAAAGGAATACTAGAATTGGTAACGTTGATCATGAAGGAGGAAATCAGATTACAATGTCCATTTTTCTTGTGAAGTTGCTGAATATTATCCATATATTTTGTCCTTTTSAAAAATATCAGTACCTCTCCAAAGCATGTGCTTTTATCCCTCCGATCCCAGAAGACAAACCTCTCTGAAGTGACATACTATGAAGTAATTTCTTGGCAATATTGGTTTTCTATTTTTGATATATTCAGTGAATAATCAGTAGTCATTTCAAACTTGTCTTTTT